TATAATTAAAAGGATATAGTTATACCAATCATCTCAAGCGTATAGGTCTAATGGTATAGTTTTAAGGATGTTGTCTTAAAGACATAGATGAAAGGACAAAGACATAAGTTTAAAATCATGAAGGTATACGTGCAACTATATAAGTCTAAAGATATCGACATAAAGGTTTCAGAAAAACAGGCATACGCATTAGTATATAGTTTGTAGGATACAGACGCTATAGCATATGAAGAGCGTAGATTGATTTGTATTGATTACCATGAGTTTTATTCTTTTATTAGTCGATGAAGAATTCATTAAAACCAAACTTTATTCATTTTAATTGATAAAATATAGCAAAATAAGTTTCTTTGATGTAAAACAATTATAACTAATTTTAATCACTTTTTGATTGATTTTAATCTTGTTTTTTTTCTCCTACACTTTTTACATAAGACGCAGTTTAACATTTTCCTCAGCTTTAAATAATTTAGTTTGATTTATTGATAGAAAACTTTATGTCTAATCTTTTCTCTTCTCGAGTCTTCTCTAATCAAGCGTATTGATATGCTATTTAATTGAATTCAACGACGAATCAAAAAACAATGCATTTAAATAACGAAAAAAACCAGTTGTCAACATCATATGTATAGTATACGTTAAACGTTTTCTTATTACTATTTATTAAGGATTCTATATTTTTCTCTTTTGAATAGATTTGTGTACCTCGTTTGAACCAGCTGGTAATCAAGCATCCAGTGACATATGTATTTTTTACAAGCCGTTTTGGGTCTTCACAGACAAAATTTAATAGTGGTATTCGCTTCTTTGGCCTGTTTAACATCGTTACTGCATAACTTTCTTGTTTTAATTTCTCTGTACTCCCTTCATTCGTACCTTGGATATGGGTATCGTTATGGGTGCTGATGTGAATGGGTTGTGTAGCTGTTGGTGTGGATATAATGGCGGAGTGTGAGTGTGGTTGTGATTTTGGTTGCAGGAATTGGTGAAGAAAGATAGCGTGCATTCATACCAAAACACACATACGCGTTCACACTTACGAACTTAGAACCTTCTGGCTCTCATCCCCTATTGGGTGATGTATCCTGTGTGCTTTCGGTGTAAATAATCAAAAGTAACATGTCGGGGAATAACGAAGTAACGGAATAGTCAGGTATCAAGGCAACTAAAGTTCATGCTATATGAAAGGTATTCCTGAAATTTCTTTGTGATGCTGGACGGTCGTTCTGTCGCGACTTGTGGCAAACAATGAGATCGACTATCTACTCTAAATTCACATAGAATCGATATTTTCATGAAAGCGTGAAAGCACTTCTCTGTGATGCATGGTCACCTTGTAGAAGTTAATGTTAAGATCTGGTAGTAGTGGGATATCATCATGATGAAATAAACAGGAAATGTTTCGCTCACTTGTTTGAGATCGATTTAGCACTGCCAGGTCGCAATCGAACAATATTTCGGTGATAACCTGAGCCGACTGTTAAGGAATCCGTCATAAATCTTTGAATGGTTAGCCTAAAACTTTGCTAGTGCTCTCTCAGGAAGATAAAGTCACAAATCGGTGGATGAGTGTCACTAGTTCAGTCTCTCATATTCCCACTCACTCTGAAATAAGATGGATATCACATGAAATGAAGTAGCAATGTAAGTAACTGATCACAGCCCATTTTAGTTCACTCATAGTGATTCTGCTTCGAAAAAGTAGAGAACCATATGGAACTTCTCTTTACTGTTTTAGATGTTTTTTTTTCGAATGTCTACTTTATTTCCACATTTTTTTCTGATAATAAGTGTTTGAGAAAAAATTCCAGTTTATATTTCTCACAAGGCAAGTCCTCCAAGTGATCAATCGCTTTTTCGTAGAAAGATGCATGATTGCATGCAGTTCACTGTCAAGATTACGAATATCAGGGCCTTATTGGCCCTTAGGTCTCTTTAAATTCTGTATCATTAATCTGAATCCTGTTCTAATAAGAGTGCTTCTTGTCAAATTTAATACTTTAATCAGTCCACTATGTATCACTAGATCAAATATCGACAGGAACATTTTTTTATAGGCATTTGAAGCTCAGATTTCAATAGGCGAAAATAGACGGTAAGACAGAAATAGACTAAACATGCAAAAGTGCCCTTTGGGATTGAGATTTTTCACATAATGAGAGGATAAAGAAATAATTCTAATTTATGTATGGCAAAACAAAATCTTGCTCAGTTTGCCGCTGGTTTTGGAAATATGTTTTCATAATGCCAATGCCTTACATTTTGAGAAATTAGCATACATGATTTTTATTTCTCTCATTGTGATATAGTTTGCTGCAAATAGCACATTTATTATTGATTTATGAATATGATGACGAAGCGAAAAAAAGTCAGATGACTGTTTGTCGTCAATATACGATTTACTTCGTTGCTTTTTAGCTTAGTATTGGAAACTTGATGTTGAAGTGTCTATAAAAAGAAGTATTCTTGTAGATATTTGATCTAGTGCTGAACTTAAAAAGGTCTAAGGGCCTCTAAGGCCCTAATATTCGAAAACAGCGCTGTGAACTGCGTAAAGTCAGGTATCTTTCTACGGAAATGCAATTGACCACTTGGAGAACTGTCCTCTTAAAAAAATATGTATTTCTATAATACTATGTGTAATTTCGCATCTTAATAAACTTTGTAGATTATTGGATTAGGTTATTGTAATATTTCAGCATAATAGGAATCATGCGCAGAATTATATTTGGAGGTCGATTTGGAAATCGTTTCGCACGTCGATTTGCACGTAGGTTATTGATAATAATTATGGTCGTTCTTTCTCCTTTCTTCTTGTTGCGATTGTATAATTCACCTCAACACAACCTCCTTGGTTTTCGTAATCTTATTTTTATTGGTCGTCGCCCACAATCCCATTTGCGATGCGTTAATGAGATTCCTGTCATCCAATCCAATCTATCAGCATATGCGGTGTGTAAATCACAAATATCAAAGCCATTAGTATGCAACAGACTTTCTGAAGGAAGAATCCATGTTAGTACAAATCCTGAGAAGGTTGACTGGATTCCTTTTGTATCAAATAATTGGGGAAACTCATTATCGCCTTATTGGCAAGCTCGAGGTGCAGCTTTTCTAATGGGAAGTCCATTTTCATTTAGTGGATGGAATACTCCTACGTGGATTGGTTTCCTTCCTGTATCTGTTGCGCCTGTGTCTTCGAACTCATGTGTCAAGGCTTACCCTGAACTATTTCGCCGCATGTGTGATGATCCTGGACCTGAGTGTGATATGGTATATGCACATAAATGTGTTGGAGCATGGAACTATATTCGAAATCAAATACTACAAGAAACTAGATCGGCATTAGAACGTTGGGCTCAATTAAACAACGAAACGAAACCCATTTTCAATCCTTCCGATATGGTGATGTACGATCGCTGCTCAGAAGATAATACCCTTTATCATCCTGAATATGCACCTATAGGCTTTAGTGCTTTCAAATGCATTCCAAAAATAGTGACAGTTTTATATCATGTGTACGATGAAGCGCAAACCACCCTTTTTTGTGACGCTCTACGTAAAGAACAAACAAAATATCTGAAAGCTATACGTCCAGATATTGCAGTTATACCTTCACGAGGTAGCGCATGGAAAGATTTTGCTAAACTCGTCTATGCTCCCTATGTGTTAGTTATTTCTACTGGGTCAACGTTTGCGCTGTGGGCCACTTTGGCAAACGTTGGACATGTATGGATTCCACCACTGTATGGTGGAATGACGCCAGATGTTGGAAGCAACTACCATTGGATTAGTACGCCAATATTGTATCCCTCTGTCGGAAAGAAATTAAACTTCACAAAACCAAGAGACATAAATGGTGCTAACAAGCTTATCGAGTGGCTGAGAAATGCATGATTGGGATGTTCGAGATGCTCTAGTTAGCATTGATTTAACTACTTCATTTTTTCAACTTTAAACTATCATAAAAATACTTTGAACTTTCAGGCTGTTCTGAACACTCATTTTATTCACAAGGCTTAGAAATTTGAATCAAAAAGTATAATATTTTCATGAATACTAGAACTTTTTCGAACTTTTTGATTACAGTCACTACTATTTTCGTTGTTCTTTGTCTTGGCATTCGTACAACGAAACAATAGTAAGACATGTCAAGATAAAAAAGATCTAAAAACTTATATGCTAATCTAAACATAACTCTTCATGATGGTGTTGATAGTATGAAGTTATCTTATATGAAAATTCTCTTGCTTATATGTAGCTTAATTTCATTCTTTATTGCTCTTAGATTGAATCAAATTCAAGACTAGCTCTCATGAAAACCTAGAATCATGACAAATGACTTAGAGTAATCCAAAAATAGTGGTACAGTCATTTCAGTTCATTATGAAAAGCTTAAATAAATATTCTCTCTCAGTGAATCTACTAGTAGAAACAGTGGTCTAGTTTGTAATGATGCTTTATCATTCTTCAATTAATATCATATCAATAATATTTTGATTAGATCTGTTTTCTATTGGATATAAAGAAAATTTTAGATTACATAGTGTCTTCGATGTGTATGCTCTAAGCAGTTCTCCATTCTGTCCCATTCGATGATCTCTCATCTGAATTGAGTTACTATATAAGATTAATTTGTTTATCGTTCATATAATCTTGCTTGTGTTTACTTCATGTCAAATTTTAGTGTCACTTTTTTTTCTAATTCTCTATCCCTATCAATATAAGGCAATAGATTACGGAAAGCGTCACAGGACGAAGAACTTGCTTTGTAAGCAGGTTATTTTATCTTGCATGTGCAAGAGTAAGATGACATTTTTCTACGTAGGACGTGCAGGACACTCCAGTTCAGATGAGTAGGGCATCCGTGCCGTAAGCAACTGAGTAAGTTAGATTAGCGAGAAGCATGTTGCGCGGGTAGTGAGGTGGTAGAGTTAGAAATTATTTTTCAGTTAAGTTACAAAGTAGGAACAAAGCTTACCCTGTATGTATCTTCTGTAATACTATTTTGCTACTCATCTATTGAAAGGCTTCCAAAAAAGATTATAAGAGAGGCGCAAATAAAAATTCGTAGGATAAGATAAGAATTGAAGTTTTGCACGGCATGGGAAGAAAGAGGAGAACTTTTCCCATCAGTTAGGATACAGAGTACGAGAAACGGCTTACCCTGTGCATCTATACATCTGAATCACCTAATCGATTGAGATCCAATTACGTCCTGAGCTAGTAGTGATACCTATTGTGATTTTTCATAATTATCAATATTAGTTAAAAGAATACATCTTGTAACAGCGATCAATGCTTCGTCGAAAAGACTACACTCTAAAAAAAGTCGGTACTCTACCGAACCTTAGAAGTTCTGCATTTCTGCACCGAACTATTTTAGGTTCTGTGGAGCGCAAATCGTTTCGTGGTTTCTTTTCAGAACTTTTTTAAGTTCAGCAGATTTGATAAGGTTTCGCGATTTTGCGACGGAACTCTTCGGAGGTTCCGTAAAGTGGTTTGTGGTTTGGTACATTACATACCAATCCTCTGATAGTTTCGTACCATGGCAGAAGGTTTCGTCATATGGCGACGGAACCACTGTTGGTTTCGTTATCGAAATGAAGGTTTCGGATATTTTGTACGAAACCACTGATGGTTCCGTTAACGATCCGAAGGTTTGGTATTATTTGTGCGGAACTTTCCGACACTTTCTAGCCCGCTTTAAAGTTTGGTAATATATCAGCGGAACTACTGCTGGTTTCGTAGATAGTGTTTAGGTTTCGCATTTTTTGTACTTAACTCTTCGCCACTTTATTATCTATGTCAAATTTTCGTATACTTCGTACGAATGGGAATGCAGTTTAGAGCACTATTGAAACTTTGTTTGCTTTCTGTTAATAACGAAAACTTCAGTATTAGCTTCAGTAGGGGTCTTATTTCAGAATACGTATTTCCACAATAGTATAAAAGTCTCAGCAAAGTTTATCAGTGACATTTGTAAGGTTCACAAAAACGTCTTCAAGAAATGACCATGCATACTTCACAAAAACAAATCAAAGTGAACAATCAAACCACGACAGAATTCGAATAACGCTACAGAAAACATGAAGATTATTTATGAAATCTGGAAACGGTTAATATAATATAGAGACCTTCCTGAACAAGATGTCCAGCAGTCAAACAAATACAAAAAAAGTTGCCGAAAAATTCAAAATTTGAGCAAAATGTTTTTTCAACAAATTATACATGGTTGGATAGAGCTCATCCAACTGAATAATCAAATCTACTTTTAAAAATTTTTGCTTCCTTTATTTCAATAAAAGAAATCAAAATACTTTCAGAGCTTCATCCTATATGAAAATTGCTTAGCTCTCGCAAACGATGTTTTCTTCTCTGTTTTCTTCGTATTCATAAGTTTATGAATATTGTTTTATTAATCAGCGTAAAAAATTGACTCTAATCGGTTATTTTAAAGTGACGGATTATAGTTAGTTTTTTACGCTGGTTAATAACACAGTATTCACAAACCTGTGAAGATGAAGAAAACAGAAGGAAACATCATTTGTGAGAAGTAAGCAATTTTTGTATGGGATGAAGCTCTAAAAGTATTTTGATTTTTTTTGTTGAAATTAAGGAAGCAAAAAAATTTAAAATAGCTTTTCTTATACAGTTTGATGAGCTCTATCCAACCGTATATAAATCGTTGAAAAAGCATGTTTTCTCAAATTTTGAATTTCTATCGTCTTATCAATCAACTGTAAGTTTGGATTTATAAAATAAGAACAAATAAAATAAACCTATTCATTTTCAGTTACAGGTTCATTCAAATATCCAAAATACGGGTAAGTTCAATCTTAGAAAACAAATTAATCAATTATATTTTTGTTATTATAGAATGACTAATATATGGAATTTCGGGTAAGTTCCATTTCCTGAAATTTAATCTATTTCGTTCGTTTTTATTATAGGTTGACCAATATATAGAATTTGAGAACGTTTAATGACACCGAATTTAATAACTTTATTGCTTATCTTATTATAGATGCATCAATATCTGGTACTTTAGATATGCTTGATCTTATCAAACTTAAGAAATTTGTTTAGCTTTTCGTTATGGATCGATCAATATATGAGATGGCAGGTAAGTTTCATCATATTATATTTAATAATTTTGTCCATGTTTTTTTATTATAGACACCATTTATAAATGAAATTTTAGGTAAGTTTGGTCTTATCAAATAAAAAAATTCCTTCAGTTTTCTATTATAGACCGATGAATTTCTGGAAGATTAAGGGGTAAGTTTGATCTGGTATAAATTAATAAATGTATTATTTTATTATAGATTCGTTCATGTATACGATTTTAGGTAAATTTGATTTCACAAAATAAAACAAATTTGACGTAGGTGAAGTTAGTAGCCGATTCGAGTGTTTCCAGCAGCGATTGGTTGAGAAACATGTTCCAAGCGTTCCAGCCCCGTTCCAAGTAGAACTCGACGAGCTCTATCCAATGGTCTGCTCAGATTTTCGATAACTGCAAGGATGATTTTTAGGCCATTAGATGGCGCTAGTGAGAATTTGAAAATCATACTTTCAGCTATCGAAAATCTGAGCATACCATTGGATAGAGCTCGTCGAGTTCTACTTGGAACGGGGCTGGAACGCTTGGAACATGTTTCTCAACCAATCGCTGCTGGAATTACTCGAATCGGCTGCCAGAATTTCCATAGAAAAATGCAGTATTTTGAGATTTTTGGGACCATTGTTTGGGCTATGGAAAATCTGAATACACCATTGAATAGAGCTCATCGAGTTGTACTTGGAACAGGGCTGGAACAATTGGAACAGGGTGCTGGACGAATCGTTGCTGGAAACACTCGAATCGGCTGCTAACTTCGCCTACGTACAAATTTGTTTAGTTTAATTATAGATTGCCTCAAAGATGCAATTTCGGGCAAGTTTGATCTTATGAAATTTAATAAATTTGGCTAGTTTTTTGTTCTAGGTTGATGTATATACACACTTTTAGGTAAGTTTTATCTTAGAAAATCAAAAGAATTATTCATTTTTTTAATTCTAGGTTAATCTCAATATGCAATTTAGGTAAGCCTGATTCTATGAAATAAAATAAATGACGTTATTTGTTTATTATAGATTGATTCAAATACAAAAAAATGCAGTAAGTTTGATCTTATTAAATGATTATATTTGTTCATTTCTATATTATAGGTTGTTTCAATTATGGAAATCATCGATGGATTTGGTTTTAACTCTCTGATGCCGTCCGTGGTATGCATACTATACGAGTATTTCTGAAAACCAAAGTATTGTATAGATCAAATAAATCAAAAGGGAGCGGGAATAGTCTACACAGTAATTTTTCTTCATTGATGCAGAAAATTACTCTATAGACTATTCCCACTTACTTTTGATTTATTTGATCTATACCATACTTGGGTTTCCAGAAATACTCGAATAGTATGCACACCACAGACGGCACCAGAGGGTTAAATGAAATTTTTGACTGGGCAGAGAATTGGAAGAAGGTTTAGTGCAAATAGTTTTGTACCGAACCTTTTTTGAATTGTTTTTGTGCGGTATGATACGAAACTATTGGTACAAAACCTTTTCTTTGAATGGTTTTTGAAAGGTTTGATACGAAACATTTTTTTGAACGGTTTTTGAGAGGTTTCGTATGAAACCATTGCTACAAAACCTTTCCTTTTGAATTATCGAAAAGGGGGTTGGTACGAAACCCTTTTTCTACGAAACCAAAAAAGGATCTTACCGTGTATCGAGGATAAGATCCTTTTTAGGTTCTGTAAAAAACCTTTTGTTTTTTAAAGTGCAGTCCGGACACTTTTTGAACGCCCTAAGTATGAGCTTTCTCCCTTCTCTCACAGAGGGCCAAC